AACCACTTGCGCCACTGTGCCAGGCCCAAAAGCTGTGATTTTTTAAACTCAGTTTTAGCATATTATTCTCAGGTGTGGTTTTTCTTCCTGTTTATTCTACTTGAGGATTGTAGCATTTCCTGAAACTGTAGTTTGATGTATTAGCAGTTTAGGAAAATTCTCTACATATATTGCTTCAGTTATTGCTTCTGAGCACCCACACGTAACTCGTTCGTTCTCTCTCTCTCTCACATACACACACACTTGCCACACACTTGCACTTTCCTGTGTCAAGCTCGTTGTTTCTCCATTTCAGTATTTTCTCTTCACCTATATTATAGTTAGTACTAATTATCTTTATAGCTGTGCCTAATCTGCTATTAAACCTATCTGTTGATTTCTTAATTGTAAATCATGCTATTTTTCAGCTCTAAAATTTCCATTTGAGTTTTTAAAGACAGTTCCCAGTCCCTAATAAATTACTTATATTGTCATATACTTTCATAAATATATTAACATTTTTTGAGTCCATGTCAGATAACTTTAAAATCTGTGTCTCCTGTAGGTCTATTTTTATTATCTATTGTTCTTTTGATTTTAGTCATAAAGAATTTTGTTGTTGGCATACTGTATTATTTTTGCATTAATGTCATATTTGAATGAATAAAAATATAGATAATTTGAAACTCTGAATGAATTGTCTTTCTCTACGAAGATTTTGCTAGGCAGTTAGACTAGATGCATCTCACTTTGATTCAGTCACAACTTGAGTTTGTTGAGATCTGCTTCAGCCTTTGCATAGGCTTTATCTACATCTAGTCATTGTTACTCCTATGTTCTATGTGTTGCCATTAGGAAAGTTTGGCTATATACGAAGGCCTTTATGGGGCCTGAATGTCAATATTTGTTCCTACACCTACTAGCATTGAGAGACTGCTGAAAGTTATTTTTGGATTCCTAGTTATGTTACTCCTAGTGTTCTTTGTGTCACCATCAGGAAACTGGCTGTATACCAAGGCCTTTATTGGGGCCTGAATGTCAATATTTGCTCCTACACCTACTAGCACTGAGAGACTGCTGAAAGTTATTTTTGGATTCTTAGTTTCCTAGTATCTGCTTATAATTGGGCAGATTTCTTGAGGTGGGTGGCATCTTTTGAGTTTTCTCTAGAAACTTCTTAGTTCTTAGCTGCAGGAGTACTCTCTGCTTTAGGAGATGTGATGCCTTTGGACAAACCTTTTATCCAATTGTTCTTATTAGAAATGTTGGAACAGGGCCCAGCGCTGTGGTGCAAGTGGTTAAGGTCCTCGCCTTGCACGCCCGGGATCCCATATGGGCGCCGGTTCTATCCCGGTGGCCCCGCTTCCCATCCAGCTCCCTGCCTGTGGCCCGGGAAGGCAGTCGAGGATGGCCCAAGGCTTTGGGACCCTGCACCCGCGTGGGAGACCCGGAAGAGGCTCCTGGCTTCGGCCGTTGCGCTCACTTGGGGAGTGAATCATTGGATGGAAGATCTTCCTCTCTGTCTCTCCTCTCTGTATATCCACCTTTCTAATAAAAATAAATCTTTAAAAAAAAATAAAAAAGAAATGTTGGAACAGACTAATCTCCCATAACCAAGATGGAAGTCATTCTTATTTTTATTTCTTGTCTTTTCATGCTTTTATTAAAGGAATTAAGGCTCATATTATATTATGAGTCTATGTGGATCTGACCTTTGAATTCTAATTAACATTTTGAGATATCTATAAGACAAATTGAAGTCTATTATGGGTTTGATCCATAACAAAGAACCAAAAACAACCAAGGAAGATACACAAACTGCCATATAAACACATAAATATATTCTGGAAATTATTTGTCAGTAGAGAAATGCAAATAAAAATTACAGTGCACAACTTCACACCAATTAGAATGTCTAAAATTTTTAAAAGCTGGAAAATAACAAATATTGGTGAGGAGTCAGCACCATAGTGTATTAGGCTAAGCTTCTGCCTGTAGCACCAGTATCCCATACAGGCACTGGTTCGAATCCCAGCTGTTCCACTTCCCATTCAGCTCTCTGGTTATGGCCTGGGAATGCAGTGGAGGATAGCCCGAGTCCTTGGGCCCCTGCCCCCATGTGGGAGACCTGGCAGGAGCTCCTAACTCCTGGCTTCAGACCCACCCAGATTCAAATGCTGTGGCAAAGTGGGGAGTGAACCAGCAGATAGAACATCTGTCATTGTCCTCTGTGACTCTGCCTTTCCAGAACTGAGCCGATCTGAAGCCAGGAGCTAGGAGCTTCTTCTGGATTTTCCACATCGGTGTAGGGGCTCAAGGATTTGAGCCATCCTCTGCTGCTATTAGCAAGCTATTAGCAGGGAGCTGGATCAGAAGTGGAACCAAACCAGCACTCCTATGTACTGCCCTCATTGCAAACAGGGCTTGACCTTCTGGACCACAATGCCAGCTTATTCACTGAATTTAAAAAAAATTCTATTCCACCCAAGCATTTCTGAGTTTAGGCATTTTACTGAAGATTAGACACTGGAGCATCCTTTATAGCTTTACCCAAACATGATATCTCGCCTTCTAATAAAAGATGAAAACAGAAAACTGTACCCCTGCCTAGTATACACACCTAGAGAATAAAAATAAGGGTATATAGTGCCACTTACACAGGCTCACCAACTGATCTACTTTTGTGTTGACTATGGGAAGATTGAGAAAGGGTGTTAGGAAAGTTTAATTCTGAATCAGTAGGTATTTACATGACCATCATTCTGGTATTCAATAGATAACAGTGTAATTTTGCAGGTTAAAAAATGTATAATGCAAGCATTTTGTACAGACTCCATGCCTCCCAAGTGTTACCTGTTTGCCTGGCCCCATTTCTATCCATAGCATTTTGCAGTGATTACCCAACAGTTGAACTGATGTAATTGAAATCAGTGATTTCCAGGTAATCTGTCTGCATTTTCAGAAGACTTCCATGCTTGATCATTACTATGCACCAGTGGGTTAATAATTGCTCAACTGTCTTGATAGAGAAAAAAAATGTAATTTGGGAATAAATGGACTAACAGAAGTATGAGTACATCTGGAAAAAAACTGGGCTTATTTTATTGCAAAATGTCATAAATGTTTAAATATTATACATATTTAACTACATAATTTATGCTGCAATGATATTAATTTAACTTGTGTAATAAACATTTGAGGTATTTTTACTTATTTTCCCACTTGGAGAAACTGTAAGAAGTGAAAGAAAAAGATTGATTATTGGATCCTTAGGGTGTGATAATTTGTATAATACCCATAATATGTTCTGCTTAAAAAGATCTACTGAAATAGCCTCTTGGAAAAAAATAACTCCATTTGGTTACTTCTCAGTCTACTCCAGAGGCGGTGTTTCTCTCCTTTAAATTGATGAGTATGTATCGTTGCTTCCAGTGAGGGATGCCAGTGATTTAAGTCAGTGGCAAAAGACTATGAGAAAAGTTGATACTTTGGGTAAAACTGAGCAAATAATTACTAAGTTGTCACAGATGTCCTTACCAAATATAGATTTTTTTTTCCATTGATTTAGAATGTAAGTAAGGAAAAGTCCTTTATTCACATATCTTTTGAATGTACATTTAGGTAGAGACAGTTACATTGTGTGGACAGAATTAACATGAAATTTCACTTTAAGAAGCAAGCATGAATAAAGCTATAGTAATCAGCACAGTGCAGTGTTGGCAAAAGAATAGATCAGCAGAACAGAATCGAGAGCTGAGAATAGATCCATGTAAATAGAGTCAGTTGACCTTTGACAAAGGAGCAAGGCAGCACGATGGAGAAATGATCATCTTCTCTGTAAGGGTGCAAAGACAACTGAAAATCTGCATGCAGAAAAATGAAATGGCTATGCTAAAATATCCATCAGTAGGTAAAGATCCTGGAATATTATTTGAAACTAAAGAGAAATACACTATCAAGAATGGATGAAATAACTGTATATTATAAGTGAAATGAATAATCCTATATATTATACGATTCCAATTATATGACATTCTAGTTAAGGTAAAACTGTGGAGACAGTCAGTGATGCCAAGGATTAAGGTGGAGGGATGAATAGGCAGAGCATAGAGGATTTTTAGGGCAGCAGAAAAAGTGATATTCTAATGGTAGATACATGTCATTTAATGCACTTATCCAGACCCATAGAAAGGTACCCATATGATATGAACCTTAATGTAAACTATTAGGTGATTATGGTGTGTTAATCTAGATTCAACTGTTGTAGCAAATATACCGTGCCACTCTGCTGTTGATAATGGGGAAGGCTATGTATGTTTTGATTCTGGGTGGATAGTATATCTCTATCCTCTGTTCAGTCTTTCTGTAAGGGTTTGAATTCATGTATTTTAGAGCGAAGGTATAAGGAGCATTGGAAAGAAAAAAGTGGTTGAGTGTGTGGGAGACCTGGAGGAAGTTCCTGGCTCCTGGCTTCAGATCGGCGCAGCACCAGCCATTGCAGTCACTTGGGGAGTGAATCATCAGATGGGAGAGCTTCCTCTCTGTCTCTCCTCCTCTCTGTATATCTGACTTTCGAATAAAAATAAATAAGTCTTTTAAAAAAGGTGATTGGGAATGAAAGGCAGACAATAGAGGGAAGCATTATTAGACAACTATCAGAGTATGTACTAGAAGTTCATCCTATGAAGAAACACTGGAGAAGGGTATAGAATACATGCCTCAGAAATGCTACCCAAGAGATGGGGAGCTAAGAGCTGTTAGGGCTGGGTTTGGAGTATTGAAGACTCTCCTAGTATGATTAATTTCCTGGTACTGGAGCCTGCTAGGTCCTTGGGCAGAGCTGCCTTCCCTTTGTTCTGGATGACGTCCACAGGCACGTTAGGTGGATATGGACTGCTGGAAGCTCGATTGTGCAGGTAACGCTGAAGGACCCAAGCTTGTGGGCGGGGGCTGCCAGAGTAAACCACAGTACTTTTCCTGGTGGAGGTGAGACTTGACTGATCTTTCTCTTCTCTCCCCAGGCTTCTTAATGGCCATATCCCTGCTGTCCATTGTGTACGGAGCCTTGCGCTGCAACATCCTAGCCATCAAAATCAAATATGATGAGTACGAGGTCAAAGTGAAGCCCTTGGCCTATGTCTGTATCTTCCTCTGGAGGAGCTTTGAGATTGCTACCCGAGTCACAGTCCTGGTCCTCTTTACTTCTGTCCTGAAGAGCTGGGTGTTGGTCGACATTCTCCTGAACTTCTTCAGCTTCTTCCTCTGCCCCTGGTTCCTCTTCTGGTGCAGTGGCTCCCCATTCCCCGAGAACATAGAGAAGGCCCTCAGTCGGGTGGGCACCACGATCGTGCTCTGCTTCCTGACTTTACTCTATACTGGTATCAACATGTTCTGCTGGTCTGCCGTACAGCTGAAAATCAACAACCCTGACCTCATCAGCAAGTCCCAGAATTGGTACCAGCTCCTGGCATACTACATGATGAGATTTATTGAGAATGCCACCCTCCTGCTTCTGTGGTATTTTTTCAAGACTGACATCTATATGTATGTGTGTGCACCTCTGTTGGTTCTGCAGCTGCTTGTTGGGTACTGCACAGCCATTCTTTTCATGCTTGTGTTCTATCAGTTCTTCCACCCTTGCAAAAAGCTCTTTTCCTCTAGTGTTTCTGAAAGCTTTATGGCATGGATCAGGTGTGTCTGCTGGATGTGTGTTCGGCAGAAATCATCTGAGTCGGTAGAAAAGTCAGAGTCAAAGTCAACCAATAGTAGGCCTGAAACACCTTTTAGCAGTAAAGTAACTACTGAGCCCAGTCCAACATTGGATATTGATGATCCTTGCTCTGTTTAATGTGACCAGAGGTCTCTTGGGGCAAAGGCATATTATTTTCTGGGTTGATACCTGTTATTCATAAAAATTAGTGAGCTCTGCACTGGGAGCGAGGCAGCAAGTCAGCTGGCAACTCCTTTTGAGCAGCTGCTCTTTCCAGAGCTTTTGGCTCTGTGGGAACCATGGGGAAAGGCCAGGGAAAGTTGGGAGTGTTGAAGAGACAGCCCAGGGCACCACAGTTCACAAGTTCTGCCATGTTTTTCCAGGCATTCTTGACCTTTTTACTGATGAAATACCCTAGAAGTCTCGGTTGGAAAGGTTAGATCCATCAGAATAAATAGAGGAGCTTTTCCTTGTTTTCTAGTTTTTCTGGATTGTTGGTCTCAGTAGCATGATGATTTATCATCTTTTACCCAAGAGCTGTACTAAGGACCTGAGAAGGCTACTGGGATTTTGTTGTCAGCAGCATTATTAAAGCTGTCAGAGCTTGCGGGGAGGACTGTTCAGGTTTGGTATTTGAATTGATAAATGTTCCGTTTTCATCTCATAAGGGCTTTTTGTGCATAGCCAACTGTACCCGCCATGGCATGCATCTCGTGAATCAATATTCAAGAGCCTTGATTTGCAGATGATATTTCCTAGATCCATGGCTGTGAAAATGAATTCTTAATTTGGTTATGAAGCATCCATATTTTCAAAAAAAAATTAGGTTGGGGATGGTGGCAAGTGGTGAAACAGACACAATGAAGGCTTGTGTAAGTAAAATACTTAACTTTTACAGGATGGTAAAAGATGTGAATTTTCTAGACGGTGGAGTTAAGCCTCAATGAGATTGAGTGCCATCCTGTAATTCTGGGAAATTTCTGGTAGAATTAAATATAGTCTTTGCTGCTGCCTCCTCATTCCTTGCCTGCTAGGTGAATTTTAGGCAAAACTCACCTTGGCTATCTTGTATTTTTTCTGAATATGCCAAAGAAATATTTCACCTAGTGAGGCATACAAGTATATAGGGCATTTAGATTTTCATTATTTGAAGGAAAATGGTTTTTCTCACTGCCACCCCTACCTAATTAGAGATTGACTTCAGAAAACTATAGAAGAGATGAAATGAATGCAAAATTTTGTCACTCGTGGAATATATTCTGAATTGGCATGATCGTGAGTTAAGTTGAACAAGATCTCCACTTTTACTCTCCTGTATGTTTTTATCTTCTGTGTAATTTCTCCTTCACTTTGTAACCGTTTTTTGTTTCATAAAAGAGAATTGGATAGCATATACTCCGTTGCCTTCAAAAACTGCCTAAATCCAGTGCCAATGTTTCTACCATTAACATGTCGACAGTGAAATATCTAGAAAGAGAGAATCATAAAGATAATATCAATTTAGTATAAGGATTGGAGTAAAACCTGAAAATTTTAAAATGGGACCTCTGTTTTTTATATTACCCCTCAAAACTCTTTTTGTATGACCTTCAGAAATGTAGGTTTCCTTTATACTTGTTGGTGTCAAATTTATTAGTCATTTCATACACACAAATGAACATGCATTTTGGTAATCAATTTCCACTATATATTAAGGGGTCAGTGAAATAGTATTGACATACATATTGTTTACTGTTTTTTATAGAGAGCCATAGAAATACATCAATAAACTCTTCAAACTGCAGAGCATCAATTTCAGTTTTATGAGATATTTCTTCATTTTATATTTTCTTGGCTTATCTATATTTATGGTTTGATTTTGACAGCATGCCAGGCAACAGATTTTTTTTAATCATCAATAGTCTTAACCAACTAAGACTAAAGATTATCTGTGTTCTCCTTGTCGGCATATAACGTATCACTAATATCACTAATAGGCCTAAATAAACTGTGAGCTTATGTAATCAAAGGAAAACTTCATATAAAATGTGCTTCCATGGCCATGTTACATAGATGCACAATTATAATTTACAAAGCACCCTTGAAGATACTTAACTACTGTGAATAAAAGCTGAGGTATTCAAGCGGTCTTTTGTGTTTAAGTTTCCAAATAATGATTAGGAGAACAGTAAGGCCATCCCTAAGTCATTCCAAGAGTTTGTATCAATCCAGTTAGTGGTGTTCTTTGACACCACATATTTTCCAGCCCTTTCGTGAGATAAACATTTTTACCTTGAAGATTTGTATGGCTGTTAGGGGGATGGTGCCCTTCTGCCACGCAGCATGCCTTTAAGTCATGCCTTGAGATTGAGAAGTCATGGCAGTCACTAGCCTGTCACTTGCTACATTTGTTCAAAATTACCCCGAGAGACTCCCAAAGCCTAGGTCACACATTTAAAAGGACAGAGGGTTGGTAAGCAGGTTGAATGCTTTATTAGTTTGAACCCCTGATCTACATACAAGTACCTCGGCTGTAAAGACGTGCATGGCCATTTGTTTTTGGGGGACAGAAATCACTGCTGCTTATTTGCATGGTGAAAATACAAGTCATAGTGAACCAAGAATTTTTATATTTGTATTATTTATGTTAATATCTCTGAAATGGCAAACAGACTTCACACTGTGCCGCTTGGTTGTCTTAATGATGTAAATCAAACAAACAAAAAATAAGTCCTCATGTGGTGGAGTGAATCAAAAGTGTCTTTCAGCTGTAATTTCAATTCATAAAACTCAGTGCTTTGTCTGCTACAACTTGTCAGAACACTTTGTCACAAGTGAATCAGCATTATTGAGCTGGATGGGAGTGAAGCTTTTCCTCAAAATGTAATGAAATAACATCATTAAACATATTTAATCGTTCTCTTGCCAACACTGGAGAAAGGCTAGTGTAGGGACTCGGCTCTCTCCCTGTCCAGCCCTGGGGGTTACTTAATTACCCTATACTTCAGTTTGCTTACCCAGCAGATTTGGATGTTTTACTTGCCCAGCCTACCTCACAAGCTTGTCAGAAAGATCAAGTTAAATCAAAACTGTGAAAATGCTTTGAAAATACTTGTAAAGTGCCATGCACATTTAAAGAGTTACTACAGTTATTCAAGTCTATAAGCAGGTTATTATTTTTTTATTGTTGGAAAGGAATAAGTAGCGCCATCCACAATGAATGTCTTGAGTGAATATGTGGGCCTTTGGCCTTCTGGGCAGCGGCCCTTTCATGTGCCTCCCATTGCTTGCAAAAATTATCACCTAAATTTGTGGCATTTGGAGAAAAAAAGAACCTTGAGCAAATGCTTCTGAAGGCAAATGAGTCTATCATTTTGGTACTGTGTTCCTTATGGGATGTAGCATCATCTTTTCAATATTTGTGTTACAACATGAATGCCATATTCAAGGCTAAGTTTAATCTTTTCAGTCTTGTAAATTGGACAATAAATATTAAACTTTATGGTCAAATACAGTACTTGTTGGAAACCACCGTGGAACATTAGTGTTCTGGTTATGAGTGCATATGTCAGTATTTCTCAACCAATACATTGTGGATGTGAATTTCTGTGGACTGTCCTTCTACATTCATTTAAATATTGTTTATGTTTCTTCATATAATAAATTAATTTTTCAATTTCTCTTTGCATTTCATTTCATATATGGTCTTTACATGGTTTTATGTGGTGACAGTTTTCAAAACAGATCTGAAAGTGGTTTGGTTTTTGTTAATTATAATCTTCAACCTCTGTGGAAAACAGTTCTGTAGAATGAGAAATTTGGGAGTGTTACGATTTGCTAATAGTCCATGGTAACTTGTCTGATTGAAAAGCATTTGTTGTATTTGGGAAAGATGCACTGCAGGATTCGGGTCCGTTCTCTGACAGTTACCATGTGTGATACAGGAAAAACGAGGTGATTCATGCCATTTCAAGACAAATACAACTGGAATACTGATTTAAAAACATTAAAACAACAAAGGGGTAACTTGGAATTTTTACAAATTAATGATCAAACATAAACGACTAGTGTCTATTCCAGTTCTTTTTTTTTTTGTCAATCTTTTAGTTGCAAGGTTTTATTTGCTTTGTCTTGTTTTGTTGCTGTTGAGCTGCAGAAGTTCTCAATATATTTTGAAGATTAACAGTTTGTCAATTATATAGTTTGCAAACATTTGCCCCATCCTCCCTTTTCCTTTTGTGTTTCCCTTTTCTAGCTAGAACTTTTATAAGATATCTCTTGGTGTTAAGAAAACTGAATGTCAACAAGTATACATTCAAGTAGGGAAATCTGAATTTAAATCTAAATTCAAATCTGATGTTTGTGCATGTTATTTTGAAATAATTTCAAACTAATGAAGAAGTCTCAAGAACAATGTAAGAAGGTCCCTAATAACCTTCACTCAGATTAACCATTCCAAATATTTTCTGCCTTATCAAAATTCTTAAGTATATTTTCCCTAATGAAGATACTCTTCACATAGCCACAGTACGATCACTAAATTCAGAAAATTTAACACTATGACAAAATCAATGTCTAACTTTATGTCCGTGTTCCATTTAACAATGTTCCCAATCACTGAATGTGAATCAACCCAGTTCTTTTCTGTGAGATTCTCTTTTATTAAAAGCAAAGATTTAAGTTTGCTATGAATGCTCAGAAAGCGACAGCAGACTTTAAAATGTTATGTGAAGAAGACATATACACGATATCAGATCTGGTCATTTAAAGCCATAATTCTGAATTTGTTTGGAAATCTTAGTAATTCTGTTTTATGGATATCCATTTTAGGATGCAGGTGTTTGCCATGTAATATGTGCTCCCCATCCCCCTTCTACTGTAAGAGTTTTGTTTTACAGAAGTTGGACCCAGTTTCTAAAGATCAGGAATGAGGTCAGGGGCTTAGACGTCCTGCTATCACCTTATTTCTCTGGGAATCCCCCTTCCAGGAAACTTTCCTGTGACCATCTTTCCACCTGGGAAAGAGCTTCGAGATCTGAATTATACACTGTGGAAGAATGACTAGCATTGTCTCTTTTTCAGGAAAAGATATTTTATAAGCAGCCAAGATTGGTACAGAGTTGGACATCAAAAATTGTTTCCAATCCATTCTTTGCCAGTATACAAACCCTTTCATGCTAGGATTCTAATGTGTTAAACAGGTGTGTTTGCTGCTCTCCAGGATGGCTACATTTTTGGCTGCCCTCTCTGCAAGGTGGTTTCTCTGGAAATTAGTATGCCAAGGATATCTAGGGCAGCGTTGGTTTAGGCAGACTTTCAAACACCCAGGGCATCTCCAAAGTGGACGGCGATAGACACAAGTACCTCTGCAGCAGGTGATCACTGGGCCCAGACCTTTGTCGGGGAAGGGGCTGCAGAGTATTTCCTGCCAACAAGATGCGCTCATCTGGGAATATTGTGAGAGTCTGCCCTGTGCTTTTGCGCCCTCCCTGTCTTCCAGCCTGAATTAATTTCCCATCTCTGAATGATAAAGTCCTGATTGAAGCCTGATTAACCTGCTTCCAAGAGCCCTGGGAATTCTGTCTTTCCTTGACATCTACATTATGCATACTATTTTAAATTCTTATCAGTTTGCTTCCTATCTTAATTACCTAAATTATACAGTTAACGAGACAGAAGGCTTTCAGGAATGATAGCAGACCAAAAACAAAACAGGATTTAGAAACCCTGTTTTGGAGTGGTACAGCTTCAGCTCTTCCCCCTCCCCCGGTCACCCAAGCACAGGGGAGAATGGCTCCCTGTTGCCACCTTTTTGTTATTATTTATTTTTATTGGAAACTCAGATTCACAAAGAGAATGAGAGAAAGATCTTTGCATCTGTTGGTTCACTCCTCAAATAGCCGCAGCATACAAAACTGGGCCCATCAGGAGCCAGGAGCTTCTTCCAACTCTCCCACATGGGTGCAGGGGGCCCAACGACTTGAGCCGTCCTCTGCTGCTTTCGGCTGTAACCAGAGAGTTAGATTGCAAGTAGAGCAGTGGGGACACGAACTGGTGCCCACATGGGATGCTGGTATTTTCAGGAAGAGAATTAGCCTGTGAACCACTGAGGCAACCCCACCTGTTGTCACCTTCTAACAAATGGGACCTAGAATTATTTCAAGCAACGGTGTCCTGCTATAAGGCTTCAGGCCTCCAAGAATGAAGAGTACCGCTCCCCCCCCCCACCCCCGCCAGCACTAACAGAAATGTGTGGCACCTTGCTGCAATTATTTTTCAAACCAGTGAGAATGTTGTAAGTAATGAGCAGGACTAATTAAAAGTGTTACCATAGAAACTTTGTCGTTATCCTCTCAGCCCCCATCATAAATAAGCACTAAAAATTCAATCACTATCATGTGGAGGGTGATGTTAAAAGACATCATTTGTGATTAAAACTTTGGGGAACTACTATATTATGAGGTTTTTTTTTTTATCTCTGCTGGAATAATTTCTCCTGTGTACCTCATAATCTTTACACTTTCTTTTTAAAAATAATTGTGTATTATTTATTTTAAAGGAGGAAAGAGGGAAAGAAAAAGAGAGTTTGTCTCCACTGATTCATGCCCCAAATGGCTCCAAGTGCCAGACTGGGCCAGGCAGAAACCAGGAGTCGGGAACAGTATCTGGATCTCCCACATGGGTGGCAGGGATCCCAAGCACTTCAGCCAACTGTGCCTTCCCAGAACCGGTGCCCCAATATGGGATGCCCACAGTACAGGCAGCAGCTTAACTTGCTGTGCCACAGGGCCAGTCCATTGCTCTTCCTTGTAAAAGCTTGATTCAAGAGAAGAGAAAATAGTTTTATTGGTTCTGCTTTCAAAAAGTGCATCATCTACCTTCACCAAAGCAAAATGCTTTTAAAATATCAAGGCACCAGTACATGTATAATAATAATCAAAGCAACAAAGTGGTTTCCACATACTCTTCAAATTTGGCCTGATTAAGAAAGAACATCAGGGTATTTCCAGCTATAATTTATAGAGCACTCGATTGAAAGTGGCTTAAACTTAGATAACATGGTGTTCTGTAACCTAACAAGAAATCTGCAGTGAGATGATTCTAGATCACAGCAGGGACAAATTTACTCAGGCCTTAAAGGGTTCCCGAACCTTTCTGCTTTAACATCTTCAACCTGCTTTCTCACCTTGTATGCTTGTCACTTTTATTTTTCACAGCAGTTCTTCATAGCAGTTACTGCAAGTATTGACATTTTGCAGAAAATGAGTTGATGAGATAACTTCCCCTGTGACTGCAGCAGAGTTGACATTCAAGCCTAATATTTGGTACCAAAAGCCCAAATGCTAATCACTAGTCTCTCCAGACTCGAACTGGTGTCAGATACGCTTTAAGTCTGGCAGGTGTCAGAGATTCAAGAAAGACATGCTAGGTAGTATTTCCCTGTTAGACAAGCAGAAACCTTGGGGAGGGCTTTTCAAAAAGTTCATGGGATGCATGTTATAGAAAACTGCATGGATTTCTAGTATTTTGCACCAAGAATAAACCCATCATTTATTTCACTTTTTCCACCAGCTTTCTAAAGTTCCCTTAAATGAAACAGCCCGTAATAGGAGGAAATCTCCGCATCTTCCAACACTCCTCATGTCACGTTCTGATGTGCCACAAGGGGGGACCACTGGGTTATAGAGGGTTATAGAGGAAAGGACTCAGGTTGAAATTACATTGACAACAATATTTGTGCTCCTCTTTTCCTGGGAAAAAAAAAGCAACAAGAATTACCCATGGATAACTAGCAAGTTAGAGCATGTGTGAACTTCAAAGCTGGTTTCTCACGTCTTACTGTTTATTCTTTAAAACTGAAAGATACCACCTGTAAACGATATGTCCACAAAGAAATCCATTCTTCAAGCTTGGAGGCAGGGTGAGGGGTTTTCAAGTGGTGTCACAGCGAAGGAAGACAATTTTGAAAATATAAATAGCTATTTTCTCCACCCCCATGATGCAGATTTGCTTCAACGGGAGACCATTCTTTACCCTCCCTCCCCATATCCCCCTCCTGTTATTTGTCTCTAAGTTATTACAGTGGCATAGTCAGTTATTTCACTTTACAGGCTTAATTTTATTGTAATATATCATGATAAGTGTAAGAAAAAGAAGAAAAGGAAGTAAGGGAATGAAAAGGTATAATTAAAAACAATAGTAAGAACACTATTATTTAGGAGTAAAGGTGCATGCTGTATACATCCATTAAATTTTCCCAGTATTCTCCTCTCCCTTGTAGAGTTTATGGAAGGAAAGAAATGAGAATGCAGAACTCTGGTCAGCTGAACTGACTCATCTGGAAGGATTCTTTTTCTCACTGTAGAAGTGTTTGAGTACTTTAACTGTTTACAAACAGGCTATAAGGCCTGCCCTTATTTGTTATAAGTTTTTTATATACTTACTTTTCCTCACCACCAAGATTCAAGTCCTGGGTTACAAGACCA